AGAACCACTACTTCACAGAGGCTCTGCATGGCTTAATCCCTGAGCCAGAAAGGAGGTCAGACTCCCTGACTGTAAAGTCTGACCAACAGTCTTGTACATACCAGTGGAGGGGTGTATAAACAGAGACTCCAGACCTACAACTTCACCACAATCGCTTTAAGTTTCTGGTCCGTTTTCTCTTTTGGTCCTGGTAAATCTCTAGAGAAGTCCATATAAATGCCACCCAAGGTCTGAATACTTATAGAGAATCTAATTTAAGAACTTCACTTTACAGATGAAAAACCTAAAAAAGTTTTAGTGTTTTAGCCAAAGTCATATATGTAGTTAGTCTCTGACCTCCCATTTCTGGGGAGACCTTACTTGGGACTGTACCAGAGTTTCTGGGTAGCTGCTAGGAGTCTTTTCACATAAGCAAGAAGGCTAATTAACAATCTACACAGGGACCTAAGTAAAAACTTACAGAACCGCATATTCACCTATAAGCTGACACCAAACTCAAGGCCACAAACTCTGAATGATACCAATTTAAACAAACAAGAAGCTACTCTCCAAGAATAAATGGGCTAGTTTCTCCTGGAAACAAATCCATTCTAAATTCTTGACTTCTGTCTTTCCCTTTATTCTCAACACGTGCTGTCAACAGGTAAAGTTGTTACACCTACTGATAACCAGCCAGCACAGAAGCATTTTTCTGTCCAACTCCCCAGTTTCCCGGGGGAAGAGTGATCTCTCACTTCTTTTGAATTCCCGCAAGAATTTAAGTGGCTCATAATACCACACAGCTGGTCTGCTCTGGTTAAGTACACCTCTTAACTCTCCTAGGAGATCACCAGGTTCCTACAATTCTTTAATTAAATTTCCTGAAATCAGGACTATGGTTTTTTGGGTTTGTTGGGTTTTTTTTCTTAAATCTCCATGGAGCCTCACACACCCATGTGTTCAACAAACACTCGCTAAATATATACACAGGCTGATCATTTTCAAAGTTCACTTTTGCCATAATTCTAAGACTGGCATGTTACTCTACTCCTATGGAATTAAAATATAGCAAAATACTACAAAAAGAGATCATATAACATTATCTTCTAACTTTTAAATAATTTTTTTTATTCATTATATTCATTACTAGAAAAAACAATAACAACAACAAAAGTCAAGAATGTCAGAATACTGATCTATTTTCCTAAAAAGCTGTGGGTAATGTCTGCAGATTCTATTTTAACATTCTAAGGGTATTCCCTAGTTAATAAAGAAGTCCTGTTTTTTTTAATCACTTTTGTGAAGGGACAGTCACCCAATAATGTATCCTTTATACCACACCATTCCTTGGTTTTTTTTGTTCTTACCATTCAGAAATGCCTAATACCCCTCTATTTTTCCAAGTGTCAATCTCCCATGAAATCTTTTTTTATCTTCCCAACTACGTGTCATCTCTTTCATCTGGCTTACATTATAATTATCTACATCGTTTTTTAATCTCTGCCAGTATAAGTTCCCTGAGACTGGAAAAGACTTACTAATTTCTGTAAACTTTTATCTATGTGTAGAATTTGTATCAGGTTGGATATCATCAAGGGCCCCTATATGCCTGAAAATACAGTCTGCACCCCTTAAAGCCAAAAGGTGAAAAAGTTTTAATTAATAATCATGTACCATCATTATTTTATATTTTAATTCTTATAGAAAAGCAAAAATTTTAAATGAAGGACTATTTTCAAAAAGTAATAAACAATATAAAACAGGAGAAATTTATACTGTGTTGAAGTAAGACTTAAAACGTCCTCTTATCTATGAGACGGTAGTTGGAAATGTCTCAATGGCAAAATAAAGTACAACAAAGCTCATACAAGGTAGGAGATCATGAACCCTGGACTATCTGGGACCTGACTTATTGCACAATAACAGTATTTCCAGAACTTAGCTCTCACACTGAAAAGAACAAAATCATCAAAAAGTGGTATGTATAGCTATTATTTACAAAATCACAAATATTTTTAAAAATTGCTAACTGCCAAAATACTAGTGAAAACCATCATAGTCCACATGCTAGCGCTACAAGTACACGCATCACTGAGATTGTCCACTCCAAACTGCACCACCATATCACCACAGGAGACATCAGGCCCTGGTGACATAATCACGCACAGTCATTCACAGCCCAGCGAATCACACCACCACCACCCACCACACACAGTGCAATATGTTTAATACACTGTGCTTCAATGACAATGTCATAAGCACTTCAAAATTCTTTTAGAACACTTTTCAAAAACTATGTTCAAAGACTCTAAAATAAATGATCTGCCCTGTTTTGGAAAGGTCCTCAGGTTATCACTGGCTAGCTCCAAGACAGTTTTTCCTTCTACAGTGGCCACCTCAAGGCCTCCCACACACACCCTCCAGAGCAGGCTCTCTGATAGGAAAGAAACACTACAGAGAAAAGCCCACCAGAGGAGAAGTCACAAGACCTCCATTCCAGTCCTGGCAGTTCTCCGTTTTAGTCATCTGACCCAGAACTAAAGTTTTTCATCTGATTGCTATACAAATCGAACAGCACACTCTACAAAAAGAAGCTGTACTTTTTTCTAATTCCTTTTTTTTACTATACCAACATAGGCATTCAAATAATTGTTAGCTGATTCCTGAGTACTTGAAAACAACTTGCTCTCATTTTTTTTTTAAGTAACTCTGTTCTTCATAGAGTCCAAAAGTTCATTTCTAGTTCAAGGCAAAATTATAACTGGATCAGTGCATTCAAAACTAAGAAATTAAAATGAGATGGTAAATGACAGGTTGGTAAATGACAAGAGCCTAAATAATCAGTGTCACAGACAGACCTAAACCAGGTAAATTCTGAGTCAATATTTGGGAAAACAAAAAGCAAGGATTCTCTTGTTGCAACATAACAATGTAGGCTGGAATAAGATTAGTATGTCTACAGCAGAGGGGCCAAAATGAGAACATATAATCAAATATAAAGTCAAAGATAGCAGAAGAATATCTGACAAGTTTAAATTTCATAACACAGATATTAGGAACAACTATATATTCCTGAGTCAAGAATGGTATGGCGAAGTGGTATTTGAAGAAAATTATTATACCAGCAGCTGTGTGGAGGATAAACTGAAGTGATCAGAGATGTCAGGAAAACCAGTTTGGAAGTTTTTAATATTAAGTAATGCAAATAAGATTTTACAATAAGGTGGTAACTAAGGACATGAAAAGGGGTAAATCTAATAGTCACTGCAGAGAGTCAGCTACACTTGCTGACAGGCTGAACTAGGGAGGCAGAAAAAGGTTTGAAAATGATTCCAACGACCTGGTAATGGGTGGCCTACAGCATAACCACACCTGCGCCGCGTAACAGTTCTTGCACTGGCTTTTTCCAGAGGGCACCTGAACCTGTTAAGCTTTATATACCAGGCCCGCAGTGAGACACCACCCCACTTTAGATGGAAACAGAAAACTACTATCACCATGATAGAGTGGGAATACCCCATAACCAAGATTACAGATTTGTTTCCTGATGGAGAAAGCTTGCTTTTCTAACCCTGGGAAACTTCCTTCCCACCTACACAATCAGGAGAGGGAAATTTCTTCTCTCTATAACCCTAAGATTGTCTACACACTTCAAGTCCAAGGTCAACACTATATGGATCTTTAGGTCACGTGTACACAAAACACAGATGACACCACTGATAGGGGATAGGTTTAACAATACAAGTCAAGAAAATTGTATTTTTAAAGAGTTCATTCTGAATTGTACAAAGCCGAGTTGATTACAATTACAATTAAAATAACCAAAAAGCAATCTTACGGGGTTACTTCTAATGTATCACAACGATAAATTCTGTTCCACAATGCACTGTGCTACATAATGATTCTGCAGTTTTGCAGGAGCTTTTCTTATTCCTGCAGCCTTAAATTCATGCTGCTGGAAAGCAGACATCAGATCAAAGTGTTTCCCTTGCCTAAAAAGCATACCATTATGCTATTTTCAATTTTATTAAGCAGAATGGTTATCAATAGCAATGTGCATTTAATCGAAGTCTCATTGTCTATAGTTCCTTCTAAGGAGAACCTGTATAAATTTATACAAAAATGGAACTCATGTTAATCCACGAGTCTTTCTAGGGGTAAAAGAAGCTCTAGGGCTTGGTTTGAACTGTCTATACTAACAATACCCCTTTCTCATCCATCCAAGCTCGTTGAGAAACATGGCTATTTTATCTACATTTTAAAGACGTTCTAGCACATTACTGTTTACATACACTTTAGTCGCACAAGCCAGAAAAACACTGTCATAAAATTTTCACACTGTCTTACCTTAAAAACAATGAACCAGTCTACCTTGCAAACGGATTAAAATATTATCTAGGGAGGTTACCAAACTATGATCTCATGATAAATAAGAGCTCTCCAGGCCACTGTCACTCTAACCACTCCATTCTAAATCTTTCGGGGGCAGAGAATGAATTTTTCTATCTTCTTGCTGGAATTTAGATTCTGTATATCAGGAAATAGAGGGTCAGGCTTAACACCACACGCTCCAGCGGCTCCTCGCTAACACAGCGGGCAGGGGGAGCCAGGCGCAGCATCGCCTCCCGGCTAGACAAGACCTAGTCTCTGCGCTCCAGGCCGAGAGCAGGTGCGAAACGGACGCTCTGGGGTTTCAGCGACTGCAACCATCTTCCTCCACCACAGACCCGGGGCCATTCTAGGAGAGGAACCTTCCAATCCAGTCACCCTCCAGGGCCCGTTTGCTGAGGGCGGACAGTGCGGTGGAGTCCTAATCCCTTCCCCTGACGGGTAATTTCCACCAGGAGCCAGAGAACTTACAGTCCCACGGCCTGCCCCCCTAAATAGGGGTGCAAAGGGGACCCGGGTGGGGCCCGCCTACAGCTCGCAGCCTCCCGGAGAGGCGTGGGCCCGGGACAGGGGGTCTCGGCCCCCGCGTCGGGACCCGGTCTTTCCCTCTTGGGCTCCCGGACACTGCTCACCGTGAAAGGGACATCCCCGACGCTGCCCACGGAGTAGCAGTTGTCTCCAGGGTTGACAGCCCCGGTGAGGACCTGATGCAGATGCATCTCCGGAGCCGGGGCTGGCCAGGGGAATGCGCGAGAGGCGCAACAATCCGCGCGCCCGGCCCTTCTCCGGCCGCCTGAGCGCTTCCCGCTCCGCCTCCCTCGGGACCCACCCCGCAGCGGCTCCGGCTTAAGGCCTCGCCCCCCTCTCGCCTTCCCCCCGCCTCGTCCCTGCCATGGGAGCTCCTCGACCGCCGCCGCCGCCGCCGCTCGGCTGAGGAAATGCCCGGATGCTCCCACAGCGTGCTGCACCGGCGCAGAAATGCGGGAGGAGGGCAAGGGTGCGTGTGAGGCGGGGGGAGAAGGGGCGCCGGGGGAGTGCGCGAGCCGGGCGCGTGCTGGAAGGGACGTTCCGCCCGGGGGAGACGCGAGCGTCTGTGGAGAGGAGGGTAAACCCCTCCTCCCGCTGTGAAGCCCTTAGCTCAGTCCTTCTCCCCCCTCCCGGCGTTTGCGCGTGCGCGCGCACTGGTTTCCAGGGCAATTGCGCGCGCCGCGCGGACCGTTGTCCCGCGATTGCGCGCGCAGACGTGCGGGAGTTCCCTTGGAGCCTCCCGGCTGGGGCCGCTGGGGGTGGCGCGGGGGAGGCCGCGGGGCGGGGCGAGGCCTCTCGGGGCCACGCAGCTGTCCCACTGTGGGGGCGCACCGCTTGGCTGTTTTGCAGAGTTTTTAATCCGTTCCCAAGTACACTGCGTGATGGTCAATGTCGTTGACCTCAGGAGGACACCCTTCACTGGGAGATTACACCTTGGAAAATTTTAGGGCTTTTTCAAAGTACAGCGCAGAAATTTTATTTTTCGTAAACAAGAAAGGAATCTTGTAACTGTTTAGAGAAGTACTCCCCTGACAGCAAATTATTTTGTCCCACCTTTTGTCATGGTTGTTCTAGACAGCGAATGAGCCCCCTAGAACGAGTTGATTCCTCTAGACTTTTTTTTATGCATAATGGCATGGATTCTAACATAATCGATTGATTTTTCCAGACTGCTAGATACAGGGATCAGAATCCTGCTTCAGGTTAATTCATCAAGAGGTTCTGAGCCTATACTGTGTGTGACTGAGTCACTGGGGCAAGAAAGTAGAAGAGACCAAGACACGACTATCTATAAAACTGTTAGGCAGTTTAGACAGAAATGAGCACTGGGCAACGGGAGATGAAGGGGAAAGGAACAATCCAGAACACAGGGAACCTGAGCTGTCAATTAACCAGAGCACAAGGAACCTGAGCTGTCAATCAGCCAGAGCACAGGGAACCTGAGTTGTCAATCAATCAATCAATCAATCAATCACTCAGGAAACCAGGATATAAAAACAGGAAAAACAAAGGAACCGTGCCATTTTTCCTCTCTTGAACTGGCCCTCTCCCAATTCTCAGGAGTGTACTATCTTTTACTATTTCTTTTTTTATTTCACTAATAAAAATCTTGCTTATATCATGCTTTTTGTCTCTCGTCAAAAATCTTTTTTTCGGGTGACTAAGAACCAAGGTAATTTTTATTTTCCTTTTCCCAGTAACAAAACCAGGCAGAACGCCAAAAGTGTTAGGTTTGAGACACAAAAGTCAATGCACGACAGGAAAGGAAGAATACTTTTGACTAAGGGAAGGAGTAAAGCGTCATGGAGAGGCTGACATGAACACAGTAGAATTTTGGCAGGCTGAGATGGACAAGAAACACTGCATTCAAATAGGGAAAATAGCCTGAAGAAATTCTGCTTTATCAATAAACCCTATACCAAGGGAAAAAAAGAGACAAAGGAAGGAAGGAAGGAGAGAGAGAGAAAAAAGAAGGAAAGAAGAGCTTCAGCTAAGGCTTAGAAGTGTAAAATGACAGGATGTGTTCGAGGAACACAGATTAGATTCATGTTTAAAAGCTGGCGATATATATGATGGGGAAATGGTAGTTAACAAGAGAGAAAGGTATCCAAGAGGTAGCCTGTGGCTAGCCTGTACGTGTAGAGTCTTGAAAATTCCACTAAAAAAGCTTAGATTTCATTCTAGCTGCAGTGGGGAATCCTTCCCATGTTTCTGAGCAGGTATGTATACGATCAGAGCTGCTTTAGGAAGAGGATTTTGTAGCCAGTTTAGGATAATTAGAAGGGTGGGGAAGATTGGAGGCAAAGACTTGGCAGCATTTGGTAATCTGTTCAGTGAAAAGAGGAGGAAAAGATAATTCCCAATGACCTAGGGCATTTTCATTTTCATTTGGTGGCATGACTGTTCCCCTCAGTCACCCAAACTAGAAACCGCAGAACCAATTTTGCCCCCATCTCTCCACATCCAAAGGTCTCTTTTTGAGGTCCCTAATTCATGCTCTTCATTATTCCTGCTGCCCTTTCTCTTAGTTTCAGACCTCATCATTTCTCATATAATTACCCTAAAACTCTTCTAACTGGTTTGACTGCCTTCCATCTCCTTGCTCTCCAATCCATACAGCTCTGCAGCCTGAGAGACCTTATTAAGGGGAAAATTCCTCTGCTTAAAATCTCCACTCCCTACAGCTTCTGCCTTATCTTGTTTTATCTCAGGCTGTTCCCTCACACCCACTACGTTCCAGCCCCACGGAGCTATTTGCTGTCTCCAGAGGATACTTTGTTCTTTTAAGCTTCCCTGTCTTAGTTCATGCTCTTTGCTCTGTCTGGAGTGCCCTCCTTCCCCTTTTTGACCTGATCAACCACAATTTAGTTTAAAAGTCACTTACTTGGTAAAACCTTTCTTGTCTATCCCCAAACACCGGGAAGCTTCTTCCTCCTGAAACACACATTATCACATAACAATCTAAGAATTGGCTTGTGTCTGTTTCTCCTTCTAGAGTCTTAGATATTTCAAGTCAGAATCGGTATCTCATTTTCTCTGCGTCCCCAGTGCCCGAATCATAGTACTTTATTTGCACTGACATACAAGATTTTAATGTGAATAGGAGCATCCAATTTTTTAAGAAAAATTATTCGAAAGTAACTTTCACTATACATGTATTTATTTGTGTGTGTGTGTGAAAGTGTTTAAATGATTTTCAGTGGTTTTGTGGAAGGAAATAATTCATGCTAATGTTAATATAGTATACTATGTACAGTATATTGGATTACAGGAAATCACAGTTTCTGTATATTTAATTGTATAGTACTAACTGTGAATAAAGTTACTAAACCATATAGCTTTAAAAATATTGTGAAAAGATAGCAGACAACAAAATTCACACACACAAAAAATGAAGCCCCATATGCATGAAGTACCATAAAGGCAAATACCAGTGCTGCACCTTGGTACCAGCAATTAAAATGCCACAGTATCAAATAAATTTGAGATAATTCCTATATATAGTATATATCAGTGAGTATTGGTATAAAACAAGCAGTTAAGTGTAATAGATTTTTTAAATTCCTTTTCAAGAAGGTTTAATACATGTAGACAAACCTTTCAGTAAAAACTGGAAAAAACATACAGCAAATTAATAGATTGCAAGAAATTCCAACATCATGTTCACATGTAAAGGTAGATATTTACTAAACATTAATACACATTGAATAACAGAAAAAAATGCATATGTGTTATAGGAGCTAGTGTTTTAGTGAATAGCTGTATACCAAGAAATGAACACTGTTTCTAAGTGTCAATAAAGACCTTAATCTTCACCCTCAAAATTTAAATAGTTTCAAAGCTTGAAAAACCATTGCTACTACTGGATTTTAGGTGAATCTCTTAGTCTTCAACTTTCACTGCATTAGAAACTGAGTCAAAACCATTATCAAACAAGAAGTTGTACTTAGATTGTCAAGAGCATTTTTTAATTCCGCATTATTTAAGCCATCTCACAACTGACTCTCGTTTTACAACATTCCATGAAGTTTTGGCCCATTCACACAAGTGTGAAATTGGAGGCCTCTTCCTTCTTCCTTTTGGTATCAACTTGAAATCTAAAGATTTCATCCACCTGTTCCTCTCTTCCCTCATGAATCCTTTAAATGACTTCATGAATCCTTTAAATGACCCATAAAGCGACATCTCAAGGTTGCAACTGGCTAGTTACATCTTCTGGAATTACAGCCAAGGTTTTTATTGTCTGGTCTTATTGTCAACCAAAACTCATTCCAGACTAATACAGCAAGTTTCCTTTATAGCCCACCCACTAGGACAGCTGTACCACATTTTAACTGTCCACAGTCGTTTCTTCCTTGTTAATCCAACTTCTTTTGCATGGACCTAAAAATAAAATGGGGATTCTTTCTTCTGATCTGGAAATGCCTTTCTTTTAAAGA